TTGTTAGGGCACAAACAACTTGAGGTGGAAGAGTTGCAGGTATTACAAACTCTGAGACTGAAAGAGTGACACCTGCAGTCTAGTCGACTCTTTTGGAGCAAAAGTTTAAACGAATGTCCTCGAAGGTGACCATTTCTGGAAAGTGTTAGTGGAGTACCACACAGATGGTTAAGTTAGTGTAGTATTTGATATACGAGGATCAAGGCTCCCCGTATTCGATGGCATTCAGACGAACAGAGTCCGAAAATTCGCAGTCTTTCACCGTAAGTCTTAGCTTGTCACGCTTTGCCCATTTTGACTGCTGTTCTCTGCGGACGTTCGAGTGCCTTTTGGCCGCGAATTAGCCATGGATTCCAAGCCTGTATAGCATACTCGGTGTGTTTGGTCTAATGTATGCTGATAGCGAACGAGGCAAAAGGTCTGTTTCGAACGATCCCAAAACATGTTTTAACAATCCAACGTGTTTTATGGCCTTTGATGACGCTCTTTCACAATGTGTGGAACATCCTAGATTCTCACGAACGAGAACTTCCAGGTCCTTTTTGTTTGGAGAACGCGGTAATGGCTGAGTTCCGAGGAATTATGGAAAGCGGCTCCTGTGGAGCAACAATACAACCTTGCATTTCTCAACGTTGAATTTGATGTAATTAGTGATAGAGCATTGGTAAGCTGCGTCAAGAGTTTCCTGCAATGTTTGATAAACTTTAGGATATTGTACCGTCCTCCATGTTTTGGCGTCGTCAGCGAATAATAATGCCTTTTCTCCAAGGACATCTGATAGGCCGTTTATGAATGCCGGGGAAAGTTACGGACCGAGTGCGTATCCTTGTGTAACTCCGCGGACAGCCTCAATCGGCCCCTATAGGGAACCATTAACTCGAACCAATACGATACGTTGCCGAAGAAATTACTCATGAAGCAGTCCTCGAAACAACCTTAGTTATCGAGATGAGGAGAGGGGACGAGAAGGAAGGGGGGGGGGTGGGGTAAACCCCATGCATCTGTGTTCAGGTGAGA